ACGTTAATTGAAAACACAGGCGTCTTTTACAATTTGCACTTCTCTGAAATTTTCAGTGCAGTTATCCCTCTGCATGAGGTGTCCAAAAATGAATACACATGGGTCTTTAAAATCCATATATGTTTGAAAATTACATGCAAAAATGCATTCTGTTAAATGAAATTGCTTTGCAAAAAAGACATATAGTAGGACAAATTCACACAAAAGTGCTGATGAAGAGCTGATAAGCCTTTTTTTTTATGTGGAAGGTTGGGAAAATGAGAAACTGGAAGAAACAAAAATGGACTGGTATTCTTACCTGCTTCTAGCGTTTTATTAATATATTCAACCAGGAGAGAAGCATCATAATGTATTGGGATATACCAAATATTCATTTTCTGCAGCTAGAATGCACTGGTGATTTAAATCTTCAAAGAAGGTTGCAACAACAGGGGTCACCCCTGGGGGGCGCACTTGGAAGTCAAAGGAACTGTTGTGCTCACCCCAAAATACCTATTCCACAGATGAAAGCTTGGTGATGATCAGAACAGGCAAAACATTACACACGCACATACACAAAATAAAACAGAGTCAGGGGGAAAATACCCAAACAGCTAACCCTCTCCAAACCAAATAAAAAAACAAAAAATAAAAAACCAAGAAAGAAAGAAAGACATTGATTTGAACAGGGGGTCTTAGTGGATACTTGGGTTGTGGTTTTTGAGGGCACCATGTTGCCCCTGGGCACCATATTGGGGATGCCTGAACTAGCAAAATATCCTCTGGATGGATTTATGGAACTCTTTTTTCCATGTAGATCCACCATATCTAGCCTGAGTGCACCCAGGAGGTTGCACCCAGTTAAGTCTCTCAAGAGTAGAGGCACTGCAATCAATGTGCCTAAGTTAGCCATGGCTACTAATTTCAGTGGGTCTGCTTTAGGTAGGACTAGCATTGGATACAACTCAGTTGTAAAGACTGCTACAAATGAGGTCCCTGCACTGATTGTGTATGCACATGTGAATATATATATATGTATGTATATTAGGAGGCCACAGCATTCAAGGGTATAGTATCCAGACATTGCCTTTGAAATTTCTACAAGCCACCTTCTTAAAGTCAAGATGGATTTTTAGCATCAGCAGGAAACGGGGTTGGGAAGCTGGGGCCAAGTTCCCTTGGAGATTGTCACTTCCAGGCTGGACAATCTGAGAATAGATCTGAGAGCTGACATCTTTGTTCAGATTTATGGTGGAGCCCCTGTTTCATCCTTGCTGGCAATACATTATGTTCCTGCATGCAAAGCTTCCCTCCACCCACCCACCAAGGAAAGAGAGAAGAGATTAAAGAGCAGCGTAACACGCTCCAAAGATGGGGAAACCAATGAGTTTTCTGCAGGGTTTACCCCTATCTGTCACAGGCTTCCTCCATATCCAGTGCTGTTCAGACCTCTGAATTAGGAATTAGATGGCTTCCAGATGGCAGATTAACTTCCAAACGGGTCATGGAGATATTGCAAACAGTTGATTGGCAACAGGCTTTTTTTATTTATTGGATTTCCCCCGGAAAAGGTAAATCTGGATTAAATCTTCTTTTGGGGGGAAGGGGGTAAAACCGGTTAGTGTTTTGACGACAACGATGCCGTCTGGATGCCGCAAGGAACCTGCATACATTATCATCAGCATGATTGTGCAATAAACACCCACGTAGAACCACCCTGGTTGCTTGACTGCAAACAAGAATTGGCTGAAGGGTGTTCTCTGTGAATGTACACAGGTGTGTGTGTGTGTGTGTGTGTGTGTGTGTGTGTGTATATATATATATATATATATATATATATGCCCACCTTTCCTCCAAAGAGCTTAAGGTTGTACAAGTTGTTTTCTTCCTCCCCATCCTTACAACAACCCTGTGAAGTAGGTTAGGCTGAGAGGCAGTGACTGGCCCAAGGTCATACCTAGTGAACTACATGTGCGCGTGGCGATTTGAACCCTGGTCTCCCAGGCCCTAGTCTGACGCACTAACCGCTGCACCACCCTGGTTCTCTTCAGATTTGGGGACAAAGAATCAGAAAACTTGTTCAGGGGTTACAGAGTTGTCTTTGGGGCACCAGGGTTGAAGTCTTGGCTCAGCCATTTACTCAATGGGGTTGTAGGCAGTGCTAGTCCTACTCAGAGTAAACCCGTTGAAATTAAAGGACATAACTGAGATTTGTTTCTTTCAATGGGTCTCTACTAAGTAGGACTTCAATGCAGCCCTAGGTGACTTCTCAGTCCTCCTTTAACCTTAGTTTCCCATCAGTGTAAGAGGGAGAACTCTGAAGTGTGCTGAGTGCAGGGAGTATTTTGGGATGTGTGTGAGGATATAGATGGCCAAATCTCAATTTCAGTTTCTCTTAGTTTCTATTTTTCAAATCTTCAGTTGAGTTCCCCACATCAGTTAGCATTGGGGTTTTTTTGTTTTTGTTTTTAAAGTTCTCATGAAAATTCATCAGCATTATAGTACTAATTTCTTCGAATATAATAGTTGATTATTTTCACTAATATATGCTCTGCTATGCACACATTTCCCTGATATACACATTTTTGTACACATTATTTGGTAGGGGAACTACAGTGAGAAATCCAGAGTCATGCATATTTCAAAGAATAGCTGCATTTCAGTTTGCACATTGTTTCAAAAAGTGTGATTAAAAAAAAAGAAAGCAGACTGAAGTTTGCGAAAGACAACATATGCTGAAAAGCCCTGTAGAGATGTGTGGTGATCAGTTGTATGAGATCAGTTATTATGAAGTTCCCATCAAGTTCAAACCCTCTTGGACTGGATCAGGAAGCAAGTCTTATATTGGGACTTAGTCCTCCCTTCATATCAGACTCCCTGACCCCAAAGTCCTGCCATTCTCAGATATGTAAATGTAATAATGATAATAAAGATACATAATGATGATTTGCATATGGTTGGCCAGCTGCACACTGTGCACAATAGTCTTTTGAGGTGTGTCAACAGTTTGAAGGGGTTGGGGGAAAACCCAGCTCTCTTGATCCTTAAAGCCAGATTGCCTGGAGGTGATTCTTACTCGCCAAAGGCTAGCGTGCTAGCGGCCAATTAGAGCTTTCACCATACTTCATTATTTTAAATTAGCTGAGCTGTGGTCCTTCTGGTGACTGCGGTGGCTTCCAGACAAACTGTTCATTGAGAATTCATCCTAATTTGTTTGCAAAAGGCTTGTGAGGAGGCTAGATGACGTCAGCTGCTCATGGAACATTCATTCTGATTTGTCTGTGGGGAGGTTAGACAAGGTTGCGTCAAGCAAGTGTGTTATCCTACACTTTTCAGCGCATTTCCCTGTCGCTTCTTTTTTTAAAAAAATAGGTCAGTTGGGGAGAACAGTCCGGCAGCAGGCTTGTAGTGCAAGCGCTCCACGTGAACTTTTTTTGCTCAACCTGACTTTTGGTGTGTGAGTGAATCCCACTAGAAAACAGTGACAGCCGGGTAGTGCTTGAAATTTCTTAATGTGCACAGTGGCGTAGCAAGGTCAGGTGGTACCCAGTGTGAAAATTTTTTTGTCAACCCCCCCACATTGAAATCCCCCTTCCTCCCTCCACCCCTGTCAAAGCCATGCCCTGCCCTCCTCCAGCAGCCTGGGAGTGTGGGGGGCAATGGTGCGCCACCCGCCCACGACTCCCAAGCCTCCCCTGAGCTGTCAAAAGGAAGGAGGAAGGGGGGAAGGCTGCCGGCAAAGCGGCGCAGCTCCCTGCCTTCCCCCGATGGCTTGGGGTAAGCTTGGGAGTCGTGGGTGGGCACTGCGCCAAATGTCACCCCCTCTGTGTGTGTGCGCGCGCATGGCTGGACTCAAAGCTGTGCTGCTGCTCACGAGGCAAGGCAGGGTCCCTCCAAGGATGGGACATGGACGGGATGGGCAGAGAGAGCCTGGCTGATTGCTGGGAAGGGGACACGTCACAATGCAACTCAGCCCTGCTCGGTTCCACAGGCAGCACTGAGTTTCATTTTGTCACCCCCTCATTGATGGCACCTGGGGCAGTCCGCCCCCACCGCACCCCATTCCTCCGCCAGTGAATGTGCAGACACCCACCCACCCGCAACACTTGTTCACATGTTTAATGGGCACATAGTACTCTCAGCAGTGCTTGGTCAGTGTGAGAGCAGGATGATGAACTAGATGAGCCTTTGGCCTGATCCAGCTACAGATCTTTTCTTACATTCTTAGCCTCCTTCTCCTCCTTCCACCCTTCACCCTAACTTCCCAGGGTGGGTTACAGCAATCAAAACACAATGTTAAAATGGCATCTTGCTCAATGTTGTCTGCACTGACTGGCAGCGACTCTCCAGAATTTCAGGCAGGGGATCCTGAAATGCCAGAGAACGAAGCCGAGACCTTCTGCATGCAAGGCAGATGCTGTGTCCCACTAGCCTTCCTTTCCACTCGAGAAAAATCAGGTGCCTTCTGGTATGGCGTTGTAATGTCCAACCACATACTCTTAGGTTACTGGGAGCCACTGGTGGGGGGGCAGTCTTTCTCAACCATGCCAGGAACATTTCCTTTTACTGGCTTAGGTGTTCTGGCTCCATCCATGATTTTGCCTTACCTTTTTTTCCCTTGGAGAAGCCGATGGGACTTGAGCAGAAGCAGTTTTTCCTGATTTTGAGGGATGGAGCTCCCCAGTTTCCGCCACCCCCCCCCTTTCAGTTGCGCTGTCAGGACCATTTGACAAGGCTGCATTTATGCTGTTAATTCATGCTATTTATTACTGCTGCCATTATCTCCTCCGTCGCTTCTTCCAAAATTACGGGGTGTGTGTCTGGCCCTCTTAATGGTGGTGGTATAGGGGTGTTTGTAAAGGAGCCTACAAGGCTACAGTAATGAATTATGTTCCCAAGAACTGTAAGTTTTTTATTAAAGCTGGTTGGGATTTTTTTCTCCCCCCCCCCAATCCCTTTTTATTCTTCTTTTCAGACTGAATGCCCAATCACCACACAACCGTGAAACCCAAATTGCCTTACAGCTCTCTCATGAACATACTTTTAATCTCGTTGACCTGTCGTTATGCTGCGAGGCATAAATTCAGATTTGGAGATCTTATGTTCCATCATAAATTGGGCTGGCAGTCTTCCGATCAACAGAATAAAACTGTCTCCGACGAGGTGGGTTTTTTATTCGTCGGAGCTGTTCCAGGAGACGAAGCGGAGGTAGAGTCAGCTTTTCTTCATAAACTATCGCTTAAAAAAAAAATAGAAAGAGACTGAGGGAGAGAGAGAGAGAAAGAGAAGCCAAGGCATGAAATTTGTAAGGGGGAGAAAGAGGGGGAAGAAATAAGGAGATGTTTAAATAACATTAATGTCAAACATAAACTTATAGAACGTGGGAAATTCTGAATTAGGGCTGGTGCAGTGGAGGCAGCAGAGGTGGCCACACTTGCAACACTGAAGAAATTATGAGGCAGGACTGGGCCGGAGGAGGGGGATATTATTATTATTATTATTTTCCTGCAGCCACTGCAAAAGTGAAGGAAGGAGTGCTAATGGATCAGCTTCCAATTTCTATGTATAATTCCACACCTCACAAAAGCCTCCATAAGCTGGGAGGAATTCTGCAAAGTGAATATATTACTTTCAAATGGATTCAAGTAGAATTTGCTCCCACAAGAGGAAGTGATGGCCACCAACTTGGATGGCTTCAAAAGAGAACTGGACAAATTCATGGCAGAAATAGCTATTAGTGGCTTCTAGCCATGATAGCTACGTTTTCCCTCCACTGTTGGAGGCAGTATGCCTGTGAATGAACACCAGTTGCTGACAATTGGGGGGAGGGAATTTTTGGGAAGTCTTTGGGAAATTTAGCACATTTGGGTAGCAAGCCGATTTCCGAGAGTTAGTCTATGTAAAACCCTACCCATCATATTTAGCTGGATGAAAGAGAATGGAAGTTCTGTAGTTTAGTGGTAGAGCATATGTTCTGCACATAGAATGTCCTGGGTTCAACTCCCAGCATCTCCAGGTCGGGCTGGGAATGTCTGTTTGAAACCCTGGAGAGCTGCTGCCAGTCAGTGTCAATGATACTGGGCTAGATGAACCAGTGGTGTGGCTCAGTATAAGGGCAGCTTCCTAAAACCCTGTCAAAAATTGCCTGCGCATGAGCTGCACCAGGTGTGCAAAAGGAGATGGTGACTTGCCGCTGAATCCCTTGCCGTCCATGTGCAATCCCATGTGTTTTTACCCCCGACATATCCCCCTTGCTGAAGCTAGCGCATAACTTTTTACGCAGGCCAGGTGTTGTGGCGTCCGCATACATAGCTGGGATTCTTTGGATTGGAACGGTTGCCGGCTCTCCAATAAGAAACTTAAGTGTTTAATGCTGGTGGGACTTCTGCAGACATGGCGAGGGAGGGAGGGAGGTGGGGGGGGGAGGAAAAAAGAGCATACTCTTCTGGGAGGAAACCCATAGCAACAGAAATGCAAGGATTCTGAGCTAATTAAATGCAAGGCAGGCAGCGTGGCCCCAAGACAGAGTGCAAGCTCTTGCAGCGACACTGTGGGAGGGTGTATGTTTGTGTGTGTTTGGGTCCAGATTAATGACCTACGGCAGCATTGTGCAAGTGTGATAGGACTGAGGGTGGGTGCGAGGGAAGCTTCAAGTTGGGCTTAGGGTGACACCCCCCCGAACACCTTTGGGAAGCAGGGGGGAGGCTTCCAGCCTACTATTAATTAGTTCCCCCCTCCCCTCTTTCCAGCTTCCTCCTCAACTTAACTAGGAGTTGCCCATGGTGGCTGAGTCCTCTGCTGATCTTCTCCCCCTTGTTACAAAGAAGGGCTTATCCACGTATATGTGTTTAAAGAAACCTGGGTTGTTGTTTTTTTTTTAAAAAAATCATTTTAAAAGTATTTGAAATCATTTTAAAAACAATACGAGCAAAGTCCTCCAAGCACCGAGGGGTTGGCAATCAGGTTCCCGACAGCCCTGCTTGCCTCCTTATCTTTCCTAGGTCCTTAAAGTATTTGGGGCACAGCTAGAGATGAAAGAGGGCAAAGATGTTCCATTACACTGTGGTTCATCTTACGCCAAAGTTATTCGTCTTGCTGTCCAGTATCACAAAGCTATATAATTTATGAAATTGATAGCTTAAGTTATGTAATTACATTGTTGTAACATTATTCCACCCCACACGTTTTAATATAAAGGATACCGCATGCAAATATTTTGGGGGGGGGCAGTGTAATAAATCAGGTATCATTTGAGGACAAGAAAGCAACAACAATAGTGCATATCAGTCATATTTGTTGAACTGATTTTTGTTCTGGACATGGGAAGAACAGATGAAGATCATCAGTTTCCGCTCTCATTTTCATCAGAATTTTCTGACACAGGATACATTTACACAAGCTGATTTATAATTTTGAATGCCTCTGGGCAAATTAAGATGGCGAGTAGCCAGCTATGTTGGCATAGGCTGATCAGAGTTGGAACATCTTGAGGTCAGAGTTGGAACATCTTGGGAAAAGTCTCTGTTGAGATCAGAGGTGTAGCTGGGGAGGCTGTCTCGGAGGTAGTTCTTTGGGAAGGGCATCATGACGCCCTACCCTGTTGTGTCCGTCTTGCCTGCCCTCCAGTTGGAGGGTACTGTGGGAAGGATGCAGCAGCTTAGGGCACCCTGCAAGCCCCGCACCATTCTAGGGAGTCTTGCAAAGCGGCACTGGCCTTGCAGGGCACTGTGAGTGCGCCCCTCAAAGCAGGGTGGCAGTGCATTAAGAGGAGAGGGTGAAAAGTGAAATGCAGTCAGGGAAGTGATGTCTGCTTGCAATATTCAATAGTTCCATGGGCTTAGCAGGGCCAGAATAACGAGGTGCAGTGCTTGAGACAGGAGGACTAGTTGCTGGTGTGGGAATCAGCCGGGATCCCCACACCATATGATCCTGAGGTGGGAGGGATCTCATTCCTCTTCATGCCTTACACCTTCTAAACTCCCCGTGAGCTAAAATCTACCTATAAACAAGTATGCCCCTTTCCTCCTTTTTTCCCCTGACTCCTCAGGCAGATTTCCATTTCTGTTCCAGTCGTTCTGCCAGTAATCTCCCTGGCTGGCACCGTTCTCCCCTCCCCTCGTGAGCTCCTGTGGGCCTTCCACGTGGAGCGCATAAAGCCCCGTCGCTCAGCGCTATCTGACTAGTTTTAATCATAGCATTTTCCATTTAATTAGGAGGGAAGGCACACTTTGCATATTAATATGCATACAGTGCAGCTCTCGCCTCCCTGAGCATTTGAGAGGGGGCTTTGGGGAGGAGGGCTTTCCCAACTTACAAGCGGTGACATATGTGTGATAATCAAGCAGATTTTTATTTATTTATTTACTTATCAGTTGCATTTATATCCCGCCTTCCCTCCAGGGATCTCAAGGTGTGGTGCACATAGTTCTCTCCACCCCCCCGTCCCTCTTTTATCCTCACAACAACACTATGAAGTGGGCTAGGCTAAGAGACGGGGACTGTCCAAAGGTCACACCTAGTTGAGCTTCACGGCTGAGTGGGGTCTCTCTGTCCAGTGCAATCTCTCTGTCCGACACTCTATCCCAGGGGTCAGCAACCTTTTTCAGCCATGGGCCGGCCCACTGTCCCTCAGACCTTGTGGGAGGGCCGGACATATATATATATGTGTATATATATATATATATATATATATATATATATATATATATATATAATTTCTTTGGCTGGACTATATTTAGAAGAAAGAAAAAAAATGAACGAATTCCTATTCCCCACAAATAACCCAGAGATGCATTTTAAATAAAAGAACACATTCTACTCGTGTAAAAACACGCTGATTCCCGGACCGTCCACGGGCCGGATTGAGAAGGCAATTGGGCCGCATCCAGCCCCTGGGCCTTAGTTTGCCTACCCCTGCTCTATCCACTACAGCGCATTGGTTATCACAGGCTTTTCTCCTGCCCTGCTCAAACACAGCCTAAATGTGCTTGGGCTCTGCAGTATAGAATCATAGAGTTGTAGAGTTGTAAGGGACCACAAGAGTCATATACTGTAGTCCAACCCCCTGCAATGCAATCTGGAGATACTTAATAGTTCTGCCACTATTCTGCTGCTACATACAGTCTTTTATGCCTTCCGCCTTGCTGATTCTTGAGCTACCAGTGTCTTCAAAGCAGTTTTCATCTCATTTCCAGTCTCTGGCATCTCCAGGAAATGTACCCAGTTTGAAACCTTGGAGAGCTGCTGCCACCCAGTGTAGACAATGCTGAGCTAGATGGACTAATGGTCTGACTAAGGCAGCTTCTTATGTAGGATAAGCTGCTTCCACTCCTCCTTGAGCTAACCTCTATTCTGTACTGCTAGTATCTTCACGGGACACCCCCCCCCAAAAAAAAACACCATTTCTCTTGAATCAGAAGCACTAATTCAGCACTCCTTGCCTTTCTCAGCACATCCAGATCCTGATCTGAGTCTGTTCCAAGAATGACTGGGTCCACCTGGACCAGATATACTTATTTTTATGTTTAAAGGAAAGAGTCTTATCAGTATAAGACAGCTTCCTGCGTCTTCTGAAAAATGTACCTTTTTGTCTTCAGCTTGGTGGCCAGCAGGGGAAAGCCAAAATCCCATTTGGCTTCATGCTGAAGATGCTCCCACCACCACTTGCCTCCCATCACCCACCGACTTACTGAATCCTATTCTTGGCCTTAATCTTCCATCATGCCAGGCATCCCCCACTCCAAACAGCTGCTTCTAGAACCAAACCAGCCACTCTGTAGCGTGCAATTCAGTCTACAATTTGTAAGGAAGACCACGGCCACTCCTGCTTGGGCTCATTGGGTGCAGCAATGGTTTTTTGCCAAACAGGTCATAGCGATCCAGTGTAGAGAGATAACTCAGGCCCCGGAGGGTGATGGAAGTGTTGCTATTTATACAGAGGGCAGGTCACAGAGTTCTATGAAGTAGAACCGGTTTGGTCGGAGGCGAGCGAGACTGGATAGGATCAACAACTGCCTGAGAAAGGAGCTCAAGCCACAAGCACCGATTCGAATCTCTGGTAGCATCAGATTTCAAGCAAATTTTATGCTGCTGTTTTGTCACTCCAGAGCCAGCTTTTCTCAACCTGTGGGTCCTCAGATGTTGTTGAACTACAACTCCCATCACCCCTAGCTTGCAAGGCCAGAGCTCAGGGATGATGGGAGTTGTAGTCCAACACCATCTGGGGACCCACAAGTTGAGAACCACTGCGTCCAGGCTATGGCCACTTCCTAAGGACCTCTTTATTGCGCCTTCATCCTGATTTGTTTGCTGGGAGCTTAGAGGACAGCCACACCTGCAACATACATGTCTGCTCCCTCAAAGAATCCTGGGAACTATAGTTTGTTAAGGGTGCTGAGAGTTAGGCTGCTATTCCCCCTCACAGAGCTACAATACAATCACTCTTCCCAGGGAACTCTGGGTTGTGTAGCTCTGTAAGGGCAATGAGGGGCCTTGTCGCAACTCTCAGCACCCTTAGCAACAGTTCCCAGGATTCTTTGGGGAAAGCTATGACTGTTTAAAGTGGTATCATAGTTCAGTGCATGGTACTATAGACTCTGGAATATCATTATGGTAGAAAAACTGACCTCCATAAAACTTGCTGAAGGAAGAGCTAACCAATGGACTTCTTTGCAGTCTGGTGCATGTGCATGGATTATGCCAAAGCAAATAAAAAATAAAAGGTCACAAGCTTTTCTCCAGCTTTAGTTTTCTACTGAAAAAGCAACCATGAATATTTTTACAATTCTTCTGCGTAGTCCTAAACTACATGTGTTACTTTCTCAAACTATGTACACCAAGTAGTCTAGGAGACGGGGTAGGAAGACTGTTAGAGTTATTGTTTTTGTTGTTGCTGCTGCTGACATGTTACGACGATTATCCCCAAAAATTCTATATTTTATGGAAGGAGATTTGATGCACAAGAGCTCTCAATGCGCTATAATTTCACAACCTGAATTTGCCGATATGTAATTGAATTCCACTTGGAAATCACAACAGCCTGAAAGCATACTGAGAGACTTTCAGAAAGAGAACTTCCTACATGACAGTGGTCAGCAACTAAAACTGGACATTTTCTCTGATAATAATAATAATAATAATAATAATAATAATAATAATAATAATTTATTTATACTCCGCCCATCTGGCTGGGTTTCCCCAGCCAATCTAGGCGGCTTCCAACAAAATATTAAAATACAATACAAATATTAAAATACAATAGTGGCTTGCCCCCACTCCCAAAAGAACCCGAGACATGGGCAAAAGGTCTCTTTGAACTGCAACTTTGTCAGAGGGCTTTTTAACACAGAGAAAAGGCAAGTAAGTGGTGATATGGTGTAAGTTTAAATAATTATGCATGGCATGGAGGAAGTGGATAGAGAAAAGGTTTTCTCCCTCTTCCATAACGCTAGAACTCATGGACATCCAAGGAAGCCAAATATTGGAAGTCCCAGGACAAAGAAAAATAAGTAGTTCTAGAAGCACATAGTTCCACTATGGAACTCTCCCACTGGAGACAGTGATGGCTTTAAAAGAGGATTAGACACATTCATGGAGGAGCGGGTTCTCCGTAGTTGCTATCTATGATGGCTATGCTCTGTCTCCATAGTTGGAAGTAGTATGCTTCTGAATACCAGTTGCTGGAAACCATAGGAGGGGAGAGTCCACTTGCACTTAGGTCTTGCTTGTGTGCTTCCCACAGACATCTGGTTGGCCACTGTGAGAACAAGTTGCTAGACTAGATTGGCTTGATCCAGCTTCTGTTCTTATTCTGGGTGCTGTTCTATTGATGCTTCCTTGTTCCTTCCTCCCCAATGTGTTCTGGCAGAGCTCTTCTTGCATTCTTATCTTCTAAAGGGGAAGGCACTGGCTGATCTTCTGCTTGGGTGTCTCTGTCTGTTTGAGTGGCTGTTTTGCATCATAACTGGTATGTGGAGTGTGCCTTTCTGCTGTGTTTACAAACACATGTTTCCACTTGACGATTTACGGAGCTCGCTACTTCAAACAACTTATGTAGACCGCAGAGGGTTGACCCAGTGGTGGGGGAGCATATGGCCTTCCATATGTTGTTGGGCTCCAAGCAGCCAGCATGGCCAATGGTAAGAGATGGTGGGAGCTGTAGTCCAGCAACATCTGGAGAGCCATGACTTCCCCACCCCAGAGACTTGGGTCTTTGTAGGAGGATATATGGCTACATCCATGGCTATTCATAGTAGCCAACGGCTACTAGCCATGGGGGCTATGTTCTAGCTCTGCTGCCAGAGGTCATATGCATCTGAATACCCATTGCTGGGAATTCCAAGTAGGGAAAGCACTGTTTTGTCCTTTCGGGCTTCCCACTGGGACATCTGGTTGGCCACTGGGAAAACAGGATGCTGGACTAGATGAGTCTTTGGGCTATCCTTATGTTCTGATAAATAACAGAAGGAAAGGGCTCTTGCCTTCATGCCCTGTCTGGGGCTTCCCAGAGGCACCTATTTAGCCACTGTGAGAACAGAATGGGCCTTTGACCTGACCCAACAGCTCTTCTTATGTTCTTAGGCAGACGGTCTTGCACAAGCTATTATGGGCTAGTTGCCTTGGTGGACTTACTTGCAAGTCTGCCTTAAGGCATCCATGCTTAGGAGCTAGGCTGAGTTAAACGTTAGGCTCACTACTCTGGTGCAAGTGTACATTTCCCATTGTCGTTGGTCGTGCCTGAGCAGCATATGTTTTCCCCCTTTAAAAAATGCATGTGGGGGAATTCAGCCTAGGAAGTGGCCCTTTGGGATCAAGCTGTTACAGAGCTTTCTTTAATCTTTCTAAGATCAGCGATTTGTGCCTGGCGGCCGTGGCTTTCTTCCCTCTCCACCCAGCAACAGCTGCTGTGGGCCATCTGCACCAGTAGCCTAATACACCACTCAAAGTAGTAACCAAACTGGCAAATGTCAGGCAGTCAGTGGCACAGAATGGCACAGTGGCACAGAATACTGACCTGGCTAGTATTTGGCCTGGGCTGAGCACGCTGAGAGCCTCTGCTTCACCTGTTCTAGGGGTTTTAGAGGGTTACAACAGGAAGACCTGTGAGGCTTTACGCTGGCGAAGAACAAAACTAAGTCTGTAGCCGCTGCCTAGATAGAACATGTATGCATTCCAGAACCTATATTAATACAGTGGTACCTCTGGTTATGTACTTAATTCATTCCGGAGGTGCGTTCTTAACCTGAAACTGTTCTTAACCTGAAGCACCACTTTAGCTAATGGGGCCTCCCGCTGCTGCTGCTGCCGTGCCGCCGCCACACAATTTCTGTTCTCATCCTGAAGCAAAGTTCTTAACCCGAGGTACTATTTCTGGGTTAGTGGAGTCTGTAACCTGAAGCGTATGTAACTTGAAGCGTATGTAACCCGAGGTACCACTGTATACTATCTTTCACATTAATACACCTTCCTTCTCCCAAAGAGCTGTGGGCCATGTATTGAGGGTTCCTGTAGCCATTTGGACGTGTCAAGTATAATCTTATTGGGGCGTCACAAGTGAAAGTTGCATAGGGTGGAACCTTTGTTATGCCCCTCCCCTGCTCAAATTCAAGTTTAGTACAACCCTCAACAAAGGTTTTGAGTTGTTGTTTTTTAGCATTGTACTTGAACACTCAAGCAGCCCGGTTGATACTCAGGTGAAGCAAGTGGGTGCTTACTTACCCTTAATCAAAGCTAACTTGAGCCTTGCTTTGGGTAATTCATTGGGCCAGTTCTCACAAGGGCCTGCAAATGAGCCTCCATGTGGCAAGAAGCCTTCTGTTTCCTATACTGGCTGTTGCTTCTGAGAGCTGCTACAGGCACCTAGTATTATGAGAAGCCACTTATCCAAGGAAGAACGTAAGAAGAGCCCTGCTGGATCAGGCCAAAGACCCATTTGGTCCAGCATCTTGTTCTCACAGTGGCCAACCAGATATGGGAACCCCAAATGCAGGACCTGAGCACCACAACTCTCTCCCCACTTGTGATTCCCATCAACTGGGATTCAGTGGCATACTGCCTCCAACAATGGAGATAGGACATAGCCATTGTGGCTGGTAGCCATTGATGACCTCGCCCATGAATTTGCCTAAACCTCTTTTAAAGCCATCCAAGTTGGTGGCCATCTTGTGGGAGCAAATTCCATAGACTGACTGTGACGATTGCATTCCAATGCTGAGAAGGGAGGACTATTGTAGGTTTTGCCCATGTTCTTTTGCTGCTTCTCAGTTGAACTGGAGCATGTCATGTCATGGCACTGACCCGGGTTAGCCACCGTCAAGGAAGTCCATCAGTGCACCAGGGTGTTTGTTTGTTTTCTTGCAGAAAGCCAAAGTTGTGGCTCTCCAGCAGCAGGCAGAAGGAGAGGCTTGCCTAGAGTTAAAGGAGCAAGGAGTGGGAGGAGGAGATGAACCAGCATCTCCTGAGCCTCAGGGAAGAAGCCATCCCAATAATCATGCCATCCGCCCTCTTACTCTACCTGAGGCCTCATCCATCTGGTACATTCACTTTTCAGCTTGCATCAAAGAGGGTAATTAGGAAATCAGTCCAAGCAAACAGGTGCCCAAATGACACTCTTCAAATGCAGAAAACAGATGCCAGTCATAATGCAGGCTTGAATGGACATAGCCGGACCAACTTACAGGGTATGTATGTTCGATGGGGAAGTGTTCTGGCTCAGTGGCAGAGCATCTGCTTTGCATGGAGCAGGTCCCAGGTTCAATCCCCAGTGGCATCCCCAGATAAGGCTGGGAAAGATCCTTCGTCTGAAACCCCAGAAAGTGGCTGCCAGTCAGTGTAGAATATATTCAGCTAAGCAGACTAAAGGTCTCGTTTGGAATAAGGCCGTTTCCTAGGTTTGCATATCTTAAGGGAAGGGCCTTAGTTCAGTGGCAGAGCATCCGCTTTGCATGCAGAAGGTCTGGGGTTTAGTCACACCTCCAGGGCGGGCTAGGAATGCTCCCTGGCTGAAAACCCCTGAGAGTCACTGCCAGTCAGTTTGGACAAGACTGAGCTAAATGGACAAATGCTCTGGTTCAGGAGAAGGCAGCTTCCTGTGCTCCTAGGTACCAACAGGCCACGACATGTCACCCCAGTCACAGGGCAGTGTGGGAAGGCCGGCGGCCTATATCTCCTTTCATGTCTGCTTTCCTTCCTTCCTCCCTCAACCTCCAGATTTAACTAGGTTCTCCCCCCACCCTCCGCCGCATACACACACACACACCTCCAAGCGATTATAATTATAGATGTTTGCCAAACCAGTTTCGCTCCCCACCTCTCTGCTTTCGAAAGAAACAGCGGAGGGCGGGCAGGCGGGGGGGGGTTGAGGGCAAACCACAAGAGAGGAGGCGAGAGTCGGTTTCTGGGCGTGCCGGAGTCTTGAGCGTGGGTGCAGGATTCCCCTCTTCCGAGAAGGCAGCTCTTGTTCCCCTCTCTCTATGCCGAGGGCGGCTGGCGCGATAAAAGGAAGGGAGCCAAGCCAAGCACATAAGCTGTCTCCCTCTCTCCGCTGGGGGAACCTTCATCCTTGCACTTGACAGCGCCGGATTAAAAAAAAAAAAAAGGCCACAAAACAAAGAAGATAAAAAGAGGAACCCTGTTCCTTTAACACTTTGTGGTTTAGTGCTTTAGAGGTGTGGTAGCAGGCATGGCAATGTTTCATAAATACTGGGGTTCTTTTTTTGGGGGGGGCTACTCAAGCCACCTCAACCCCCTCCTGCTTGTTAAAACTGGTTAACGCCATCCAATGCCTCTGGCTTTCTGTCTGGTTGCTCATCCCCTTGTCAGCCACAATTTTATTCATCGCATCAGCTGTGGTTGGGGAGGTGAAGGGGAGTAGGGTAGGGTGGGCATTCTCCGTAACAGGAAATATTTTTTAAAAATGCTTTCAAATTCTGCGCACTTCCCAAAAAGAGCTGGGTTCTGTAACGTAACAAAATCATGCAAATGCACATAGCTTCTATTATTTTGCATTAATTTAATTAATTTATTTTTTTACTATTTTTGCATGACTTGCTCTGGTTTGGGTAATCATTTTTCAAGGGAGGAAAAGATCATGCCTTAAGCACCTCATGCGGAGTGGGCAGTCAGAATGGGGTGTGGGGCAGACAAGGGTCTTGTGGGTACCCTTTTTCTCAATTTAAAAGCACATAGAGCTGGAGGAGGAGGTTGGAAGAGTGATGCTCTTTCCCATTTTCTCTTTCAATTCTATGTGCTTTTCAATGCTCATATTAATTTGACTGGATCTGACTTTAACTCAGAACCCTGGGGGAAGAAAAATGTGTGCACTTATAACTTTCTCTCTTTCTGTCTTGTTGTGGGGAGTTGGGGGAGAAGTGACCAGAGCAGCTTGTGCCTGTGGCACTCATTCAAAAATCAAAATGTGCCTGCAGGCCTAAAAAAGATTGTTGCACATGCACACACAGCACTTTACAAGGACTATTATCTGTTCCTCTGGTCCATGGGAAGGAAAATTGGATGGGAGGCATTTTTTTGAAAGAGGTGCTTGTCAAAATTGCTAGTGATCAAGACCACCACCTTATTTGGGATGGGGGGCAGAATAACAATGTTTTTGTGCTGAAACAGGGTTACGGAATCTGCGTTACTGGGACTACAGCTCCTATCGCAACTGATGTTTGCCCAGGGTGGCTGGGGCTGATGGGAGATGGAGTCCAACAACATCGGCTGGGGGAGGGGGAGTTTCCCCATCTCTGTGCTGGTCAGTGTTCAAAGTGAGCGACTCTCATCCATGACCCTGCAGAGTGGTCAGTATGGATGTCTGGCCAAGTCTTACACCATACATTTAGGAACATAAAAATGTGTTGGGCTCATCCATCCCAAGCATCCCGTTCTCACTGTTGTCAACCAGATGTCCGCGAGAAAACCCACAAGCAAGACCCAAATGTACCTTGGGTTACATACGCTTCAGGTTACAGACTCCACTAACCCAGAAATAGTACCTCGGGTTAAGAACTTTGCTTCAGGATGAGAACAGAAATCGTGCTCTGGCAGCGCGGCAGCAGCAGGAGGCCCCATTAGCTAAAGTGGTGCTTCAGGTTAAGAACAGTTTCAGGTTAAGAACAGACCTCTGGAACGAATTAAGTACTTAACCCGAGGTACCACTGTATTGGGCAGGGGGTGGGTGTTCAGTAGCGTTCCCATTTCAGTTCCTTTTATACATTTTTCTTTTCCCTGGGGAGGGAAAGGAGAGGGTGAGTGAACTCGCCCACTAAGGCTCATCGGGTTATATTAGGAGTGGCAAAGAGTGGAGGGAGACCGTGAGGGTGTCTGGGGGCGCCCGAAAGCAGCTGTCAGTTTTGGGGTTGTTGTCTCTCCCCCCCCCCCAAGGGCTGTTTCAATCGCACTTAGGTGGCATCCGGTTGGCCCCTTGGGATCCAAACAGAAATTTGCAGCAAGCAATGAAACCACGGCCGGGCTGTGTGTCAGTGGGTGGCTTCGTTCTCTCGCCTCCTTGGGCCCTGATCCGGTGCCACGTGGAACCCCTTCGCCCCCTCCTCCCAAAGGGCGAAGCAACGCGCGGAGCAGGGCGCGCAGGCTGGCAAGCCGGGAGTTGCTCTGACCGCTGGCGAAGCTCGCCGAGCGAGGAGGCTGCTTAGCTGGCTGCCTGCCTCCGCCTCGTCCTGCTGCGCGCCCCGGGGGCGATGGGGCTGCTTGGGAGCGCGCCTCCTTCCTGCCCGCCCGCCTGCTTTCCTTCCTCCGTCTGGCCCGGCCGGCTCCAGGCGACCGGGGGCGGGAGGCCTGGAGGAGTTTCCAACCGCGGCGGCGGCGGCAGAAGCAGGGTCTGCGCCGCCCTCTGGGCTCCGCCGCTCCTCTCGCCGGGTTATTTATTACCTCTCTCCCGCGGTGGCGGCGGCGGCGCGGCGGCTCCGGGGCGGCTGCCAAGCTGCCGGGGGAGGCGGCGGCGGCGGAGGAGGGGAAAGGGACCCCGCGCAAGGGGGATCCGGAGCAACGACGCCTCCCCAACAGTTCCAGCTAGCCAAACTTTCTTAGCAGGGCTTTCTCGGAGGTGGGACTCTATATTATTTCTGACGCCCACTCACCCGCCGTTTCCCCCATCATCGGAAGCTAAGATTCACCCGTTGCATTCTTGCCTAAGTATATTGCTTATTATCAGAAAAGAAAGAAACGAGTTGGTTCCTCCCTTCTTTCAGGGACGACCAGCTGGTGGACAGGAATTCAAGGGTGAAGCTTCGTTTCCTGGGCATAGAGGCGGAGAGCTGCTGCACCTGTTGGATTTCTGCTTGTCATCCTATGAGCGAAAAAATATAAAACAGGGTTTGGGAATCTGATCTCTCCCAATGTGCACAGTGACTGGGGGTGATGGGGTGTTGCAGTGTTGGCAATGTCTGGAGGGCCACCCAGTTGCCCATCTCTGCACTAAAGGCTTGAACAGCTGGCAGAATTTGTTTGCCAGCATCCTGTGCCTTTGGAGGTGGGCCAGTTAATGAGCCAGAGCTCTTATCTTCCCTGTAAAGCAAAAAATTGATTTTATACCAGTTTATGTTGGAACATAGGGACGCGGGTGGCGCTGTGGTCTAAACCACAGAGCCCAGGACTTGCCGATCAGAAGGTCGGCGGTTTGAATCCGCACGACGGGGTGAGCTCTTGTTGCTCAGTCCCAGCTCCTGCCAACCTAGCAGTTTGAAAGCACGTCAAAGTGCAAGTAGATAAATAGGTACCGCTCCGGCGGGAAGGTAAATGGCGTTTCCATGCGCTGCTCTGGCTCGCCAGAAGCAGATTAGTCATGCTGGCCACATGACCCGGAAGATGTGTGCAGACAAACGCCAGCTCCCTTGGCCTATAGAGCAAGATGAGCGCCACAACCCCAGAGTCGTCCGCGACTGGACCTAACAGTCAGGGGTACCTTCACCTTTATGTAGGAACATAGGAAGCTGACTTATCCATTGGTCCATTCTACTCAGTACTGTCTGCACTGACTGGCAGTAGTTCTACAGAGTTTCAGGCAGGCGACATTTCTAGGCCCAGCAGGAGATTCCGGCGACAGAGCCTGTCATCTTCTTCATGAAAAGCAAATATTCTCCCACTGAATTATGGCCCTTCCCTTAAGACATGGGAACATAGGAGCCTTTATACAGGGTCAGAATATTGGTCCATCTGGCTCAGTATTGTCTGCACTGACTGGCAGCAGCTCTCCAGGGTTTCAGACAGCCCTGCTTGAAGATTCTGCAGAGTGTACCGAATGCAAGCTGTACATGAAACAGTACATGTCCCTTTGCCTCAGGCAGCTGAATATCTGGGTGTCAGTCCTGATGATGTCCCCAAAAAATGGAAAAAGAAGAAAAGTAATTTTCTTGACTCGGGGAGGCTCACTATGACACATTCTGAAAGTACCTCCTGCAAAGGAAGTCAGGTTTTCCTGCCGACGTCTTCTTTGCTGCACTATTTAAAAAAATAAATATGTTTTATTTGGTCAAGGGCAGGATGTTCTGCTGTGGCACCTTATTCCAGTGATTTTAAAATGGTTTACAGGCCTTAATTAACATTTCACCCTTCTTCTCCCCCTACTCCCAGGGCTGGCTGGTTTCCCTTCATGTAGCTTGCCCCAGTTGTCAGGCTGTTAATTATGCAGCTTGTTGAGGTGGTGTGTATGTGTGTGTTGTGGGGAGGGGGAGCAGTTAAAAAGGAGGCCTTCTCTGGGGGTGATGCTAGAGGCTGTTCAGACTTCCTTTTCAGGCTTCTCCTTTTTCTTAAGGGTAGGTG